ACACCTGGACACACCTGGACACACCTGGGTGACGTCCCCAGGTGACCCCTCCCCATTTTTCTCTCCCCAGGGGCATCGGCAAACAGGGCCTGCAGTGCATGGGTGAGAACCTCCCCAAAAACACCCAAAATCACCCAAAAACACCCCGAAAACACCCGAAAACACCCCAAAATCACCCAAAAACACCCCAAAAACACCCGAAAACACCCCAAAAACACCCAAAAACACCCCAAAAACAGCCAAAACCACCCCAAAATCACCCAAAAACACCTCAAAACACCTGAAATCACCCCAAAATCACCCCTAGAACACCCAAAACCACCCCAAAAACACCCGAAATACCCCAAAAAACACCCGAAATACCCCAAAAACTCCCCAAAAACACCCGAAATCCCCCCAAAATTCCCAAAATTCCCCAAAAATTCCCCCAAAATTTGGGGATTTGGGACCTCCCCCCCGGGTGGGCGTGGCCTGGGCGATGATTGACAGGCGGGGTTGGCGTTGCCATGGCAACCGACGGGCAGCAAGGGGGCGGGAATTTGGGGAATTTGGGGGGAATTCTGGGAATTTTGGGGAATTTTGGGATTCTCAGGGGGAAATTTGGGATTTTGGGGGGTCCTGGGAGGGATTTTGGGGCAAAATTTGGGGAAAAATTGGGGAATTTGGGGGGAATTTTGGGGGAATTTGGGGGAAATTTGGGATTTTCGGGGGGTCCTGGGAGAGATTTGGGGACAAAATTTGGGATTTTGGGGCAAAATTTGGGATTTTGGGATGGATTTGGGAATCCTGGAGGGATTTTGGGGAGATTTTGAGGGATTTTGGGATTTTGGGGGGATTTGAGGGAGATTTTTTGGGAATTTGGGGGAAATTTGGGATTTTGGGGGGTGCTGGGAGAGATTTTGGGGCAAAATTTGGGGAAAAATTGGGAAATTTTGGGAATATTTGAATTTCTGGGTGGGATTGGAGGGAATTTGGGGATTTGGGAGGTTCCTGAGGGGAATTTTGGGGGAATTTGGGGGATTTTTGGGAATTTTGGGAATGTCTGATCCCGGTTTTTTTTTTTGGGAATTCCCAGTTTGCAGCTTCGTTGTTCACAAACGCTGCCACGAATTCGTCACCTTCGAATGTCCCGGGGCCGGGAAGGGACCCCAGACCGACGTGAGTCCCAAAATTCCCCCAAAATTCCCAAAATTCCCAAAAATCCAACCCCGAATCCCCAAAATTTCCCCTTCCAGGACCCAAAATTGCGATTTTTGACCCAAAATTGGTGGAATTCGCCCCAAAATCGCCGCTGGGGAGGGGGAAAATCCCACCCTGAGGTTCTCCAGTCCCAAAATTCCCCCCAAAATTCCCAAAATTCCCAAAAATCCAACCCCGAATCCCCAAAATTTCCCCTTCCAGGACCCAAAATTGCGATTTTTGACCCAAAATTGGAATTTTTTGACCCAAAATTGGTGGAATTCGCCCCAAAATCGCCGCTGGGGAGGGGGAAAATCCCACCCTGAGGTTCTCCAGTCCCAAAATTCCCAAAAGATTCCCAAAATTCCCAAAAATCCCACCCCGAATCCCCAAAATTTCCCCTTCCAGGACCCAAAATTGCGATTTTTGACCCAAAATTGGAATTTTTTGACCCAAAATTGGTGGAATTCGCCCCAAAATCGCCGCTGGGGAGGGGGAAAATCCCACCCTGAGGTTCTCCAGTCCCAAAATTCCCAAAAGATTCCCAAAATTCCCAAAAATCCCACCCCAAATCCCCAAAATTTCCCCTTCCAGGACCCAAAATTGCGATTTTTGACCCAAAATTGGGATTTTTTGACCCAAAATTGGTGGAATTTGCCCCAAAATCCCCCATGGGGACAGGGAAAATCCCACCCTGAGGTTCTCCAGTCCCAAAATTCCCAAAAGATTCCCAAAATTCCCAAAAATCCCACCCCGAATCCCCAAAATTTCCCCTTCCAGGACCCAAAATTCGGATTTTTTGACCCAAAATTGGGATTTTTTGACCCAAAAAAGGCGGAATTTGCCCCAGAATTTCAGGAATTTCAGCCAGGATCACATCCTGACCTCTCCTGACCCCAAAATTCCCAAATTTCCCCCCAAAATTCCCAAATTTCCACTCCAATCTCCCAAATTTGGCCATTTTCCCCCCTAAAATCCCCATTTTTTTTCCTAAAATCCCCATTTTTTTTCCTAAAAACTCGGGAATTTTTCCCAAAACCTCGGGAATTTTTCCCAAAACCTCTGGAATTCTCCCCAAATCCTCAGAACCTCCAAAATTTCCCACTCCAATCTCCCAAATTGAACCATTTTCCCCCTAAAATCCCCATTTTTCCCCCTAAAATCCCCATTTTTTTTCCTAAAATCCCCATTTTTTTTCCCCAAAATTCCCGTTTTTTTCCCCAAAACCTCTGGAAATGTCCCCAAATCCTCCTGGATCCCAAAAATTCCCAAATTTCCCTCTCCAAGCTCCCAAACCGAACCATTTTCACCCTAAAATTCCTGGAAAAATCACCTAAAATCCCCATTTTCCCCCCTAAAATCCCCATTTTTTTTCCTAAAACCTCGGGAATTTTTCCCAAAACCTCGGGAAT